ATTCTATCAACGTTGTTGTTATAATTGTTAGGTGCTGTCAAGTATGTTCCAACTCATAGCAACTTTGTGTACAACAGAACGAAAACTGCCCAGTCCTGTGCCATCCTCACAATCAATGCAGTGCTTGAGCCTGTTACTGCAGTCACTGTGTTAATTCATCTCACTGAGAATCTTCCTCTTTTTCACTGACCCTCTACTTTACCAAGCAAGATGTACTTCTCACAGACTGGTCCCTCCTGATAGTATGTCCAAAATAATGAAACCAAGTCTCAGCATCCTCACTTTTAAGGAGCATTCTGGCTGTATTTCTTCCAGACAGATTTCTTCATTATTCTGACAGTCCACGATATATTTAATATTATTCTTCACCAACACCGTAATTCAAAGGAATCAATTCTTATTGATATTCCATAGTCATTACCCAGCTTTTACGTGCATATGAGGTGATTTAAAATACCATGGTTTGGGTCAGGTGCACCTTAGTCTTCAAAGTGACATTCTATCTCTTTCACGTTTTAAACAGGTCTTTTGCAACAAATTTGATTTCTTGATTGCTGCTTCCATGGGCATTGGTTTTGGATCCAAGTAAAATGAAATTGTGGACAACTTTAATCTTTTTTCCATTTATCAAGATGTTGCTTATTGGTCCAGTTGTGAAGATTTTTGTTTTCTTTATATTGAGGAATAATCCATTCTGAAGGCTTTGATACTCTGAAGATGTTTGATATTCATGAATAAGTGCTTCAAATCTTCTTCATTTTCAGCAAGAAAGATTGTGTCATCTGCATGTCACAGATTGTTAATGAGTCTTCCTCTGATCCTGATGCCACATTCTTCGTACAGTCTAGCATTTTGGATTATTTGTTCACCATACAGATTTCATGAGTCTGGTAAAAGGACAGAACCCTACACACACCTTTCCTGATTTTAAACCATGCACTATTCCCTAGATGTGTTTGAATGACTTACTCTTGCTCTATGTCCAGGTTCTCCATGAGAACAATTAAGTGATCTGGAATTACCATTCTTCACAATGTTACTCATTATTTGTTGTAATCCACACAGTTGAATGTCACTTCGTAGTCAATAAAATACAAGTAAACATCTTTCAGGTATTCTCTACTTTCAGTCAAGATCCATCAGACATTGGCAATGGTCTTCCTCATTCCACATCTTCTGAATTTGGCTTGAATTACTGGCAGTTTCTGGTAGATGTATTGCTGCAACCATTTCTGAATTCTCTTCAGCAAAATTTTACTTCTTTGTGATATTAATGGTACTGTTCAATACTTTTTGCATTCTGCTGTGTCTTTCTTGGAATGAGCACAAATATAGATCTCTTCCAGTCACTTGGCCAGGTAGCTGTCTTCCAAATTTTTTTACGTAAACTAGTGAGCACCTCCAGCACTGCATTGGTCTGTGAAACATTTCAAATGGTATTCTGTCCATTCCTGGAGCATTATTTTTCACTTTCAGTCCAGCTTGGATTTCTTCCTTGAAACTATCAAATATTGACCATATGCTACCTCCTGAAATGGTTGAACATTGACCAACTAACTTTTCTGTACAGTGACTGTGTATTCCTTCCATCTTTGTTTAATGCTTCTTGCATTGTTCAACATTTTGCTCATACAATCTTTTAATATTGCAACTTGAGGCGTGAGAAATGCAGAACATGTTCTTCCTTTTTGTTTTTCCAATTCCAGGTCTTTGCACATTTCATCATAACACTTTGTCTTCTTGAGCCACCCTTTGAAATCTTCTGTTCAGAATTTTTACTTCATTATTTCTTCCATTTGTTTCTGCTCTCTTCAAGAGCAAGTTTCAGAGTCTCCTGTGATGTTAATTTTCTTTCTTTTCCATGATGTTTTACTTTCTTCATGTATGATGTCCTGACTTGATCCCACAAGTCATCAGGTCTTCAGTCATTAGTGTTCAGTGTGCCAAATCTATTCCTGAGATTGCCTCTAAATTCAGGAGGGATATACTCAAAGTTGTACTTTGGCTCTAATGGACTTATTTTTATTTTCTTCAGCTTCAACTTGAACTTATGTAGGAGTAATTGACAGTCTGTTTAGTAGTCAGCCCCTGGTCTTATTCTGAATGATGATACTGAACTTTTCCATTGTTTCTTTCTACAGATGTTGTAGATTTGAGTCCATGTATTCCATCCGGCATAGTCTGCGTGTATAGTCACAGTTTATGCTTTTGAAAAAAGGTATCTGCAATGATTAAGTAGTTGGTCTTGAAAAATTCTATTGTACAAATATGGATCTCTTCCAGTCAGTTGGCCAGGTAGCTGCCTTCCAAATCTCTTAGCATAACTGAGTGAGTGCCTCCAGCAGGACATCCTTATGTTGAAACATCTCAATGGGTATTCCGTCAATTCCTGGAGCCTTGTTCCTCACCAATTCCCTCGCACAGCTTTGACCTCTTCCCTCAATACCATTGGTTCTTGAATATACGCCACCTCCTGAAATGGATGAAGATTGATCAGTTCTTTTTGGTACAGTAACTCTGTGTATTCCTTCCATCTTCTTTTGATGCTTCCTGCATCATTCAATATTTTGCCCATAGAATCTTTCAATATTGCAACTTGAGGCTTAAATTTTTTCCTCAGTTCTTTCAGCTTTTGGTTTTCTAACTCCAGGTGTCTGCACATTTCATTATAGTAATTGGCTTTGTCTGCTTGAGCTGTTCTTTGAAATCTTCTGTTCAGCTCTTTTATCTTGGCATTTCTTCCATTTGCTTTAGCTACTCTTCACTCAAGGGCAAGTTTCAGAGTCTCTTCTGACATCCATTTTGGTATTTTCTTTTTTTCTCATCTTTTTAATGACCTCTTGCTTTCTTCATGGATGATGCTCTTGATGTCATCCCACAATTCTTATGGTTTTCAGTGGTGTTCAATGCATCAAATCTATTCTTTAGATGGTCTCTAAATACAGGAGGGATATAGTCAAGATCATATTTGGCTCTCATGGACATGTTTTAACTTCAAGTTGAACTTGCATATGAGCAGTTGATGGCCTGTTCCACAATCAGCTCCTGGCCTGGTTTTGGCTGAAGATAATGAGCTTTTCCATCACCTCTTGCCACAGATGTAGTCAATCTGATTCCTGCGTACTCTGTCTGGAAAAGTCCACGTGTATAGCTGCCATTTGTGTTGCTGAAAAAAGGTATTTGCAGTAAGTTGTTGGTCTTGCAAAAGCCTGTCATGCAATCTCCAACATTATTTCTGTCACTAAGGCCAAATATTCCAACTACTGGTGATTCTTCATTTCCAACTTTTGCCTTCCAATCACCACTGATAAGCAACACATCTTGATTGCATGTTTGGTCAATTTTAGACTGCAGAAGTTGATAAAAAAAAAAAAATGCTCAATTTCCTCATCTTTGGCTTTGGTGGTTGGTGCATAAATTTGAATAATAGTCATATTAACTGGTCTTCCTTGTAGGCACATGGATACTGTCCTATCACTGACAGCATTGTACTTCATTGTACTTCAGGAAAGATCTTGAAACATCTTTTGTGGTGATGAATGCCACGCCATTCCTCTTCAATTTGTCATTCCCAGCATAGTAGATCATATGGTCTTCTGATTCAAAATGGCCAAAACCAGTCCATTTCAGCTCACTAATGCCTAAGATATCAATTTTTACGCATTCCATTTCGTTTTTGACAACTTCCAATATTCCTAGATTCATACTCCATACATTCCATGTTCCAATTATTAATGGATGTTTGCAGCTGTTTCTCCTCAATTTGAGTTGTGCCATGTCAGCACATGGAGGTCCTGAAAAACTTACTTTATGCATATCATTAGGGTTGGTTCTACTCTAATGAGGCAGCTCTTTCCCAGTCTTGTTTTGAGTGCCTTCCAACCCAAGGGGCTAGTCTTCCTGCACTGTGTTGGACAAATGTTTCCAAGCTATTCATAAAGTTGCCCAGTAATGTACCAGACAGTGTTTCTCTGCATTTTATAAGGTTTTCCCTGGCTAATTTTTCTTTTTTAAAAGTAGATCTCTAGGTTCTTTTTCCTAGTCTGTCTTAGTCAGGAAGCTTCACTGCAACTTGTCTACCATGGGTGACCCTCCTGATATTTGAAATACTGATGACATAGCTTCCAGCATCATGGCAACATGCAAGCTACCACAGTACAAAAATCTGACAGACTAGTGGTGGTATCATCCTTAGGAAACATGTTACTATCAAAAAAGCAACAGACACTAATCTTCAAAAGTGCCAGGGTGGTGGCGGGGGTATGCACTAGAGCTGTTAAATAACCATGATTTTCACACAAAGCAATTTGTCAATTTTCTCTTAGTCCTCATTCAAGGTGGCTCCATTACCAAAGCAGCTGTTTCTCCTATTGTTCTAGTCAGCTGCTACTGAGTCAGTTTTAACTAATGGTGACCCCATGAGTGCAGAGTGGAGCTGTTCCATAGAACTTTCAAGGCTGTCATCTTTTAGAAGCAGATCACCAGGCCTTACTTGTAAGTTGCTTCTGGATAAGTTCCAACCATCAACCTTTTGGTTAGTAGTCCAGTGCTTAGCATTTGTGCTAGCCAAGGATTCCTACTTATTATTATAAAAGCATAACTGTAAGGTGATTTCACCCAGGAGGAAAATGCACATCAATTTCCACCAAGGTAAAGTGAACACTAAGATTAATGAAAGTAGCGCATATATTAGATAACTCAGAGAGAAAACCTAAATGACAATGAACTATATTAGGTGATCATTAATACTTCTTGACATCATCTGAGGACTGGAATAACTTGTATTACTATCCTTCTTTTTTGTTTTTTAATTTTTTAATTTTTGCAGTGTTTCCTCCCCCCCTTCCCACCCTTGATGACCAGCAAAGAAAGTTTTCTTCCATATATTAACCTTTCCTTGACTTTTTATAATAATACATCACTATTATTCTTAACCTCTACACAAATTTATTGAATATTATTTGTGAATTTCTTAAGAGTGCTGAGCTCTTCCTCCCTACCTGGCCTTGCGAGGCGTATCAGAGAGATGTACACATCATGGCAATCTCTTTCTTGTGGTATGATGAGTTGTACTGTCTGAAAGTTCTTGCAGCGAATAAGCAGAGGGCATCCAGTAGCCGTTGTTGCCTGCTTTTCAATAGTAGAAATTTGACTGTGAAGAATCTAGAACCAAAAGTTAATAATGACAAACTGACCACAAATAACTGATAAATACAGGGAACAACACAGACTACAAATAATAGCCCTTCTATGATAAACAGAGAAAAGACTGAAGTTGTCAAGAATTTCATTGTGTTTGGATCCACAATCAATACCCATGAAAGTAGCAGTCAAGAAATCAAAAGACATATTGCATTTGGGCAGAGTTTCTGCAAAAGACCTCTTTAAAGTGCTAAAGAGATAAGATGTCACTTTGAAGACTAAGGTGTGCCTGACCCAAGCCATGGTATTTTCAATTGCCTCATATGCACACAAAAGCTGGACAATGAATAAGGAAGACCGAACAAAAATTGATGCCTTTGAATTATAGTGTTAGCAAAGCATTCGAATATACCATAGGCTATAACAGTAAAATGAACAAATCTGTCTGGGAAGAAATACAGCCAGAATGTTCCTCAGAAGGGTGGATGGTGAGACTTGCTCTCAAGCATTTTGGAAATGTTATCAGGAGGAAGCAATCTTGGAGAAGGACATCATGCTTGGTAAGGTAGAGTATAAGCAAAAAAGAGGAAGACCCTAAATGAGATGGACAGACACAGTGGCTATAATAATGGGCTGAAACACAGCAATGATTGTGAGGATGGTGCAGCACTGAACAGTGTTTTGTTCTGATGTATGCAGTGTCACTATGAGTTGGAAACAACTCAGTGGCACCCAACAACAAAACAACAAGCTGTTGGTGGTCCAGCAGGCTTCGGAAGAGATCTATTTTAAAAGAAAGCATACTGAAGCACATCTCTCTGGCCTTTTAGGAGGGGTTCTACTCAGTCCTCAATGGCAACACTTCACTCTTCACATTTTCTCCTGCTGTATACTGCCTACCACCTCCTGCTAAAAATGTAACAACGTTCATAAGATATAGAAAGGTGAAAATCTACAATATTGGGATTCTGTTTCCAGTAATTGTGTCATAACTGATTTGCTATATAAAATAAGACATACATCTCATTATTAGTATCACAAATATATGATGATGAGACTCTTCCTAGTTTCTCTTTTTTTGATCTACAAGTAAAATGGAGACATCATAATAAAATGACTAAAATGGCCTGCATTATAGGAGGTGATGTATGATTGGTTCTAAAACACAAAACAAAACAAATGTAGTAAAAATATGGCAAAAAAAGTACAACATTATCCAAAAGAATTGAAAGCAAGAAGAGAAAGGTGAGTGCACACCAATGTTCAGTACAGAACTATTTAAAACAACTAAAAGGTAGAAACAGCCCACATGTCTCTCAACACATGAATGGATAAAAAAAAGTACTATGTAAATATTTTTAGTAGCATACTAATATTGTTGCATCTCTACTTGGCAGCTGTGATAAGCATTTGGATCTTCTGGATCTTTCTAGCACTATCTTTGATACTATTTGTTATGGATTGAATTGTGTTCTCCCAAAATATGTGTTGTAAATCCTAACCTTTTCACCTGTGGATGTAATCACATTTGAGAACAGAGTTTTATTTATTTTGTTAATGTGGCAACATCAGTGTAAGTGTCTCATAAAACTATAACTTTTAAGATATGAAAGAGTAGATAAAGGTACAGAAGAAAGGAAGCACAAATGGGGCAGGATAGATGCCACACCACATGAAGACTGTCAAGAACAGAACAGAAGCAGAATAGAGACAAGGGCCTTGCCTCAGAACCAACAGAATGGAAGTCTCCCCTAGAGCCAGTGCCATACATTTGGACTTCCAGCTTCTTAAACTAGGAAAATCAATCTCTGCTTGTTAAAGCCATCCACTTGCATTATTTTTGTTAGAGTAGCACTAGAAAACTTAGACACTTCCAACAATATTGCATAAAAAGGTGAAGTAGATTAGATTATACAGAAAAGGTGAAAGCACAGATTTTAGAACCACTGCTCTGAACATCCAAAGCCATAGCTCACCCAACTCACCACAAGGACAAATAAAAAGAATGAAGGATCAAAACTTTCTGTTTCAAACATAAGAAAAAACATGTAAAGCCAAAAAAGAAGGAAAACATACCCAAGTTTCTTTCCTTGCATCAGGTGCATTTTCCACGAATATGACATGAGTAGCTGTCAAATACAAAGTCCCTAGGGCTGCTTTTTTAGAAGATATTCGATCTACCAGGCGGACATTTTCAACCTAGAGAAATCAGGTTGATGGAAAGAGTTACAGTAATGCAAAACAATCATTCACAAAAATAAATAATGAGATCATCTATTCACTACAAAATACAATTTTGAGAAATCCTCTAATAATAAAAACCAAAACTTATCCCCATAAAATTAATTAGTTAGAGTTTGGAATATGGTTCTGTATACCAGAAGTTAAAAATTCATCAATTACTAAACAATGCCCTTAAATGTACCACAAAAGATTTATAGAACTTGTCCTTTAATAATACCCTCTCTGGGTTTAAGTGTTGTTGTTGTGTCCCCTTCAATTGATTCTAACTAATGGAACACTATATGTATGACAGAGCAGAACTACCCCATAGGTTCCCTAGTCTGTAATCTTTATGGGAGCAGATTACCAGTTCTTTTCTCCCACAGAACAGCTGGTGGGGTCAAACTCAGACCTTTTATTTATTTACTTTGGTTTATTTTTTTTTATTTTAAGAGCTTGTATCTTCCATCTTGCTCCAGCACTAGTAGCAAAGTTCAACAAGACAGAAAATAACAAATGCTGGCGAGGTTGTGGAGAGATTGGGACTCTCATACAC